TGGAACAGTCAGTCTCCAAAAATGAAACAAAAGGACCATCCCAGACCTTTCCTCCAAAAGCACACAGAGTTTTGCCCTAATGTCAGGTCTGAAATCAAGAAGTAGGCTGTTAGAATGAGCAAACAAAGTCAGGAGGACCTGAGTTCAAATCTGGCCTCAGACCAAACACTTGACACTTACTAGCTATGTGACCCTGGGCAAGTCGCTCAATCCCAATTGCCTTACCAAAAAAAAAAAAAAAAAAAAGAATGAGCAAACAAAAATAGAATCCCATTATAAAACTCTGTTGTGGTGACACAGATGCTCGAGACATAAACCCAGAAAAAATATTATGACTGAAAAACATCTATAACCAAAGCCTCAAAGACAAATACAGTTTGAGCACTAACTCAACAAAAATTGAAGAGGAAAACGAGAGCTATAAAAGAAATAATTGAAAATGGAATTACCAGTTTGGCAGAGAGGTACAAAACTTTACCCACACAACAAAACTCCCTGAAAATTAGAATTGACCAAATAGAGGCCAATGACTTCATGAGACATTAAGAAATTTTAAAACAAAGTCAAAAAACTGGAAAAAAAAAGAAGAAGGAAATGTAAGGTATCTCATAGGAAAAAGCAACTCACCTGCAATACAGACAGATCAAGGACAAAACATTTAAGAATTACCGGACTGCCTGAATGCTATGACCGAAAAAGAACCTAGATGTCAGTTTTCAAGAAATATTCAAAGAAACCAAGTGGAAATAAAAAGAATACATTGGTCACCTCCTGAAAGAAATCCCCAAATGAAAACTTCCAGGAATATTCTAGCCAAAATACAGAATCTCTAGGTCAGAGAAAAAATATTGAAAGTATCCGTAAAGTATTTACATATCCTCAGAGCCATAGTCACGGTCACACAAGATTCATCAGCCACCACAGTGAAGGAATGGAGAGATTGGAATACATTAATTCAGAAGGCAAAATACCTTACACTCAAGAAGAACTTATCCAACAAAAGTGAATATATTACTCAAGGGAAATGAACCTTTAATGAAATAGACAACTTCTAAGCGTTACCAAGCTATATAGAAACTTTCCAGTTCAAATAGAGTAGTTAATATCCGTACTATAGACCTTTCATGTCTGCCAAAAAGTAGGGAGAGGTTTATTCTTTTATCTCTTCTTGGGAACTATGCTTTTCCTTTGTAATTTTGCAACATTTACATTCAATTGTTTTGTGTTCTTTGTTGTTCTTTCTGTCTATAATGTTGTAGTCATTGAGTACATTATTTTTTTCTGGATCAGCTTCCTCACACTGCATCAATTTATTTTAGTCTTTCCATGTCTCTTTGTATTCATCATGTTGAACTGAAGAGTGGGTAGATTGAGATCAAGGAGGTAGCTACTCTAGGCAGGAAGAGACGAGGGCCTAAACTAGGATGACTGAAATAGGAGCGGAGAATATGGGCCAGATATTATAAATATTATTGCAAATGTGAAAACAAAGGACTGGCAACTGCTTACATGTGTATAGCCAATGAAAAAGAAAGATCATTCCTTTAGCACCTACTGTGTGCCATGCACTATTCTAAGCGCTAGATATGAAAAGAAAGGTATAAGACATTTTCTGTCCTCAAGGAGCTTATAGTCTAATAGAGAGCTAACACTTTTCATCTGTGTCTGGTGTCACTATTATTCAGGATGAGGCTTAGTGTATTAGTGGGGCAGCCAGGTGGCTCAGTAAATAGAGTGTTGGGCCTGGAGTCAGGAAGACCTGCGTTCAATTCCAGACTCAGGCACTTACTAGCTATGTAACCCTGGGAAAGACACTTAACCTCTGTTTGCCTTAATCTGCTGGAGAAGGAAGTGGCAAACAACTCCAATATCTTTGCCAAGAAAACACCATGGACAGTACTGGCATGCTATGGTCCATGGAGTTACCAAGAGTCAGATAGAACTGAAAGACTGAACAACAATAACTACAACAACATTAGAGTATTGATTTTCTTTGGATTCAGTTTTAGTCTAACCAAGTATTAGTCAGCTTTTGTTGTTGTTGGAATGGTTTAAGGTTTTAAGGTTGTTTTGTTTTGTTTTAAGGTTTTGAGATTAAGTAACCTCTCTAGGATCACACAGCTAATAAGTGTCTGCGGCCAGACTTGAACTCAGGTCTTCCTGACTGGCCCAGCACTCTATCCACTGAACTGCATAGCTGCCTCTGTTAGTATAAGGAGAAAAATAGGTACCAAATATCTATATACTAGTTAGACTCTAAAGAAATGACTGGTCTAGGATTATTTTTTTTTAAAACTAACCTACCAGAGCTTGCTTATTCAAATGATTGCTTGCTACCATTCAGAGCTGTCATCTTTGGAAGTTAGACACTTATTCCAATGATGTGAGCATTACTCTGTGTATTTTCAAGACTATTCTTCCAAAATTGTCTTGAGAACCAATTTACAAGCCAGGGCAGAAAATCAGTCATGTTTTTTGTCACACTTTTTTTTTGGCCCAAAATAATATTATCCAGCTTGATTACCTTCCTGTTTGATCAGCCTTGTGTTGAAATAAATTGTGTCTGTCATATCTACCCTTAAAGAATGACTTACTATAATTTAGGAGATATCAAGCTGTAGTTGGACATGTAGTAAGGAAATCTAGAATTCTCACATCAAGTATTTACTAGCTTATAATCATGGACAAGACAAAACTCTTTGAGCCATAGCTTTCTATTCTGCAAAATGAGAATAGTAATCCTTGTACCTCCCCATGTCACAATATACTTCTGAAGAAAATGTTTTTCCAACTTTAGTGCACCTGATAAATTTGATTAATTTTTTAAAATATCTGTTGTTCTTATGCAAACAATTGCTTCCAGCTCTTTGGATTATTTCAAGAAGATTTTTAGCAGTAGTCACATCTTTGGAATAAATGTCTAGCCTCTCACAATAACCACCTTGGACAGGACAACAGTACTCATCTAGATGTTTGTTTGGGTAACATTTATTTTGAAAATCAGTTCTATTACTTATAATCATACTTCATATCAGATCCCAGTGAATAATTCAATAAAACAATAATAGTAAATAAACATTTATTAAGTACCTACTATGTGCCATACACTGTTCTAAATACTATGAAAAGAAAGGTATTAGACAGTTCTTGCCTCAAGGAACTTACAATCTAATGGAGAATTAAGTCTTTTCATCTATATCTGATGTCACTTTATTCAGGACAAGCTTAATAAACATTTTTATGTCCAGAAATTAGCTTCTTCACTATCAGTCTTTTGCATTACTAAAGTTATGATGGGGCAGACAGACTAGGAAGGTGAAATGAGTAAGTTTATAGGATCATTTATTTAGGAGCTGAAAGTTGCTTTAGGAGCAGTATATTCAAACATCACACTTGCCAAAGGTCACAAAGATAGTAAGTTACAATACCAGGAGAGCAGGCACGTGGACGCATGCCAGTTTGACAGCCCCAGATGTTCATTTTGGCCTATCAGTTGAAAGTTTGAGTGAAAACTTTGTCTAAGATACATAGGCATCACACAACTGAGTTGTGGAAACAGATGTTAAGCAGCCAGACACTAAGCATCTGTTCTCAACCTGGTTGCCATCTATGATGTGACAGCTGAAAATGTCAAGCCCTGATTCATCCAAATTCTTCTACTTCATTAGTTATTTTCTCCCATAAATTAGACACTTTGTAAATTAACTCTTCTAAGTCACTTATAAATTACTGCTTTAAAAAAAAACAACTAAATGTCACCTTATTTGCCAGTGCTTTCCAGAGAAACATAAGCAAGGACGTAACTAAAAATTCAGTTAACTACATCCCAAGAGTTATTTAAGAGTTAATGTTTTTGGAACTATAGAAATCATCACATTTTTATGCCTGAGCCACAGGATTATTTAGTGAGTTAAATTGAAATGCTGGTCTCAAAGCTGAATTAAGAGATGTGATAATCATGGCAGGCTGGCTGGCTGGTACTTTATGCTTTGTTCAGGAGATCAATGTTCTTAACACAGTGAAAGCTAAGTATTTTTTAAATGTTCTCAACATTTAGGTAGTATATGTGTGTTTTAAGATTTGAAGTTATGTAAAAAGTTGAGTCATGCCCAGATGTTGACCATTAATAAAGCTATAGTGAGAAACTAAGTCAAGAGATAAGTCAAGTTCACTTAAAAGAAGCTAGTATCATTAAAACAAGAATAAGCAATGCTTCATTTTCTATTTAAGAAGCAAAAGATGCAGTTAAAGCTGTGTGCTTGGTTGGTAGGTACTGCCTACGTCTACCTGTTACTAGTTGGTGCTCATCCTGGCATATAGTTAAGTTGTCACATTACCCTTATGCCACATGGAGCTTGATTTCTCTAACATCAGGCCCCTTAGAGCAATGAAATCCTTATGTAAGAGTTGTTTGCTCAGCTTTTCTCTAGGGTTAGGAATGATTCTGTCTTCCTTTAGGGTTTGGAAGTAATTGGATAGGAGTCCAGGTGCCTGCAGTAACCATTACATGGTTTCTCTTTAATAATTCAGGCTATTTCCAAATCCACCTCAGATTATCACACAAATTCATTTTGAACAAACCAGACTGACTTGTGTAAGACTCTATCCTGTTTGACCAAGGGTCTGGCTAGATTGCCTCCAGTGGCCTAGTTCCATTAGAAATTGGTAAGAGTTCCTCCTTTGATATTAGTCAGTCTATCTTTTTACTACAAAAAGACAACCAACCAAAACCCAGTAAATGGCTACAGTAATGCCACTGACACTGATGACTTCAGGCGTTTCACTAGTCAAAAGGCTGTTTGTCATTGTATTCCTAAGTATCACCTCATAGTTATTTTTCTCCCATATCGTTGCCTCTTCTCAAATCATAAAATACTCAAGGGAAGAGAACATTTGTTCTAGATTATATCAAAGTACCTTTCACTTTGTAGTGGGTTTTTCCCATTATCTAAAGAAAATAAATAACCATCTTTATATTACCCTCTCTGTTCTTTTCCCAGGCAAGCTTGGGACCTAGCAGTTGATATTTGCCTCTCCCAATTGCCAACCATTATAGAGGAAGGAACTGCATTTAGGGTAAGTCCTTATAAGTATAAGCACTCAAAAACCCTCCTCATATCCCATTACGTTCAGTGTTTGGCTGGGGACATGTTTTTTCCTAACTGCATTGTGTGAACGATTTCACTGCTATGTGAAGAAATTGTACATTCATGTTTTGTTCACCTTTTTCTTCTAGGCCACAGATGCAATTCTAGATATCTTTGCTTTTCAGACATCTTCAGTGTCTTAATAACTCTTCATGTTAACCTACAATAATAAAAATGTTCTAGTTAAGACAAAAATGACCAAATCGACAGAACTGGTTATGAGTCTTTGTGGGAGAGGGGGAGGGAAGGCGACATTTGTTATTTAGCTTGCCAAATTCATTTTCTTTCTTTCTTTTTTTACTGCTATCATTTTGTGTGTGTGTGTGTGTGTGTTTTTAATAAGTTTTTATTGATGTCTTCTGGTTTTTTACATCATCATAGTTATCTCCAATATCCTTTCCCCTACTTAAGAGCCATCCTATATAGCAGATATTATTTTTAAAGACAAAGAAAGAAAAGAAAAAGAAAATTTTAAAAAATAAGCACTACTGGTCAGTACTTTAAAGAAAATTCAAACATATGTGCAATGTTTAATACCTGTAGGCTTCCCACCTCCACAAAGGGTTGTAGTGAGTGTGTTCTCTTAGATCTCTTCATTTGAGTCATGCTTGATCTTTATAATCTGCTAATTCACGTGTGTGTGTGTGTGTGTGTGTGTGTGTGTGTGTGTGTGTGTGTTCTTTCCATGTATATTGTCATTATTGTGTATATTGTTTTCTTGGCTCTGCTTACGTCACTTTGCATCAGTTCATCTATTGGGGTGGAGAACCTGTGGCCTCAAGGCTATATGTGGCCTTCTAGGTCCTTGGGTGTGGCCTTTTGATTGAGTCCAAGTTTTATAGAACAAATCCTTTTAGTAAGGGCATCTGTTCTGTGTAAAGTTTAGATTCAAAGGACCACACTTGAGCACCTAGAGGGCCACATGTGTCCTAGAGGCTGCAGGTTCCCCACCCCTGATTTAGATCTTTCCATACTTATCTATAGTCATCACATACATAATTTCTTACAGTAATTTTCCATTACATTTAAGTACCACAGTTTGCTTAAACATTTCCCAATCAATGAGTATCTACTTTGTTTCTACTTTGCCATCACAAAAAGTGTATATGAGGGCTTTCTTCTTAAATATGGCATCCTTGGAATATAATAAGCCCAGTAATAATAGTTTTGGATATAGACATATTAGTCATTTTATTTCCGTAATTCCAAGTTGCTTTCCAAAATGATAATACCATTTTACAGCTCTACCAACAATGTATTAGTGTGCCTGTTATTCCACAACTGCTTCAACTTTTTTTTGTCAATCTTTTTGACAATTTTTTTTGTTTTGCTGGATGTGAGGTGAAACCTTAGACTCATGATTCGAATTTCTCTGGTTATTAGTGAGTTGGAACATTCCCATGTAGTTGTGAATATGTGATACTTTGCAGTTCTTGTTTTGAGAATTATTTTTTCATATCCTTTGACCACTTAATCTATTGGGGAATGGGATATGTGTGTAGGTATCTACATCTTACATACGTAACCCTTATCAGGGAAATTTGATTCAAAACATTTTTTTCCCATTCAACCACTTCCCTTCTTATCCTTGGTACATTATTTCTGAGCAAAAGCTTTTCAATTTCATATAATCAAAGTTATTTGATTATTAAGTTATTACATTTATTATTACAAAGTTATTACAATGATTAAATTACTTATTTTATAATTGCCTCTGTTGTTGGTTAAGAATATATCTCCTACCCATAGATGAGAAGGTTGAATTCATTACCCTATTTCCAGAAATTAAGCAATTCATTTATCTGGTTAAACCAGTGTTCTATATCTAACTAAGTTATGTTGCTTAGAAATTTTGAATTACATTGAATGTGGGTCTTTATCAAATGGACATAGAGGGTGGAGACAAATACATCTATACCAACAGAGAAGATGAGTAAATTACTTTTCTTGGTCTTAATAAAAGCTTACATTTATATAATGTCCTGAGGTTTTTGAAACATTTTATTTGTAATGTATCATTTCATCCTAACAACAACCCTGTCAGGGAAATAATATATTAGTAGAAAATACAGTACATACAATGTCCATTTTAGAAATGAGGAAACCAAGGTTCTGAGAGATTCTGCCTCGTCCATAGACACATTACTTAGTAGTAAAATAAGGGTTCAGACATGAGCCTTCTTTCTCCAAGTCTAGGACTCATTTGACCCTTTGCCACACTACTTCATACTAAAAAGTGAATTCAAATCTGTATGCCAAGATTACAAATTGTAATCTGTATTTAAATACCCTTCATTTACTTTTTGTTTCTTAGTCACTGTAACTTTTTTAAAATAATTCATTATAATCATTCGTGAGGTAGCAAGGTATATATCAAACATGGCAAACTCCAGCAATGTCTTGGTTCACTTCATTCAGCATCAGTTCATATAAGTCTTTCCAGGTTTTTCTGAAGTCCTCCTGCTCATCATTTCTTATAACACAATAGTATTCCTTTACATTTATATACCACAACATATTCAACGCCCAACTGATGGGCATCCCCTCAATTTCTAATTCTTTGCCACCGCAAAAAGAGCTGCTGTAAATATTTTTGTACATGTGGATCCTTTTCCCATTTGTATGGTCTCTTTGGAATACAGACCTAGAAGTGGTATTGCTGGGTCAAAGGGTATGCACAGTTTTATAACCCTTTGGGCATAGTTCCAAATTGCTCTCCAGAATGTTTGGATCAGTTCACAACTTCACTAACAATGCGTTAGTGTTCCAGTTTTGTCACATCTTCTCCAACATTTATCATTTTTTTTGTATAATGCTTTTTTAAAAAAATTAATTGATTTATTTTTGGTTTTCAACATTCACTTCAATAAGCTTTTGAGTTTTAAATTTTCTCCCCCTCCCTCCCTGCCTGCCTCCCCAAGATGGTATGTAATCTGATATAGGTTCTACATATGCATTCCTATTAAACATATTTTCACATGTCTTGTTGTAAAGAATTAGAGCCAATAGGACTAACTACAAGGTAGAAGAAACTAAACAAAACAGAAAGGGAAAAAAAGAGCAAATAGTATGCTTCGATCTGCATTCAGACTATATAGTTTTTTCTCTGGATTTGGATAGCTTTTTCCATCGCAGCATTTATCATTTTCCTGTTTTGTCATGTTACCCCGTCTGATAGGTGTGTTGTGGTACCTCAAAGTTATTTTAATTTGCATTTCTCTGATCAATAGTGATTTAGAGCATTTTTTCATATGACTATAGATAGCTTTAATTTCTTCATCTGAAAACTAACTATTCATATCCGTTGACCATTTAACAACTGGGGATTGATTTATATACTTATAAATTTGACTAAATTATCTATATATTTTAGAAATGAGGCCTTTATCAGAGATACTGGTTATGAAAATTCTTTCCCAGTTTCTCCTAATCTTGGTTGCATTGGCTTTGTGCAAAAACTTTTCAATTTAATGTAATCAAAATTATCCATTTTGCATTTCATAATGTTCTCTGTCTCTTGTTTGGTCATAAATTCTTCCATTCTCCATAAATATGACAAGTAAACTATTCCTTGCTCTCCCAGTATGCTTGTAGTATCAGCCTTTATATCTAAATTGTGTACCTAACCTATTCCACTGATCCACCACTCTATTTCATAGCCAGTTCCAAGTTGTTCTGTTGATTGTTGCTTATAACACAATTTAAGATCTGGTATGACTAGGCCACCTTCCCTTGCATTTCTTTTCATTAATTCCCTTGATGTTCTGGATCTTTTGTTCTTCCAGATGAGTTTTGTTATTATATTTTCTAGCTCTGTAAAATAATTTTTTGGTAGTTTGATTGGTATGGCACTGGGCAATGTCTTGAGAGATAAAATGTGCCTCTCTCATGACATGGTTTCAGCATAATTGAAAGTCCAGAGCCTGTCTCACCATTGAAAGATGTTTTTCCCCATCACATCAAGGTTCTCTTGAGCCTTTGAAAATATGACCAACTCTCTCAGTCACACTGAGCTGGGAGAACCTTTTCTTCCTTTGCCAATCTTAGTTTCCTTGTTTGAGATATCAATCTTTTTTTCCCCTTTTTTATATCCATATATAGGACCCAGTTGACATTACTAGCAAAAGAGCAGCATGTAAAAACCCATAGACCAAGACTGATTTTAAATGAAGGGAGAAAAAGGAATTTAATTATGTAACATACCTGAATAAAAACCACTCTCCTAATTTTCTTTTAACCTATAGCAACTGTTTCAGGGACTATCCACTTACCTAATTTCTTTTAAAAAACCAATTTATGAGTAGTTTATATTAAGTGTGAAAAATATTACTTTCCCTTAATCATAAATTGGCCTTTCAAGTATAATTAACTATATTTTGGCTGACTCTCCATCAATGTTAATCCCTAAATTTTTTTTAATACCAACATATTTTTTCATTTTTCATCTTTCATTTTTCTGTTTTTCTCTTCTGTTTTTACATCACCTTCATTTCCAAATGGATCACTCTTCTACTCCTAACCAGAGAGCCATCTCTCACAACAAAGAAATTGAAAAAGAAGCAGTTAACAAAACTAACCAACACATCGCCTGAATCTGACAATATATGCACTGTTCCACACCCACCTTTGCAAAGAAGTAAAGGAGGTATATTTTGTTGTTGTTTCTCTGGCACCAAGCTGGGTCATTATAATCACTTTTTTTTCTTGTTGTTATTTCCATTAACATTATTGAAGACATTGTATGTATTGTTTTCCACATTTTGCTTACTTCACTCAGCACCAGTTCATATAAGTTTTCCAAGCTTCCCTGAATTGTTCATATTCATTCTTTCTTACAGCATTGTACAACTCCGTTATACTGATATAGCCACATTTAGCCATTCCTCAATCATTAGGCATATCTTTTTTTTTTAGCTCTTTAAAACCACCAAAAAAGTGACACTGTGATTATTTTTTTTGTATGTTGGACCTTTCTGTCCTAACAAAGCCTTTTTCTCAAGAGTCATGCTGTTCTGACCCTCAAGTTACTCTTTTAAAAATATGAAACGGAATTCTCAATGCTCACTTTACTCCAGTAGATCTCTTGGGACCATGACTCCCTAGACTATGAGTCAGGCCCTCACACATTGCCCACACTCTTGGGATTTTAGGGACTGCAAATAGAAATCATTATCATTAACTATTTTTGCTTTATATTTTCTTTTTATAACAGATAGGATAATTTCATTTCTCTTTTTAAAATACACAGTCCTGAAATGATCCACCTTCCCCTCTCCTCCCCTCCAGGAAAGCATCAGAATAGCAAAAGAAAAAGGGTCCATTTTTCATTCATACAGTATTGTTTCACTTTGTGCTTAGGAAAGATAGAACTGTGTATAAGAAAAATTGAACATGTAAGAAAGAGAAATTAATTGTCGCTTGATCTACATGAAGAAATATATTAAGAAAATGACCTAGTCATCTTCCTATATAACCAGGGAGTATGTTCTCTTATGTCCCACCTTTTTATTGTCTGTCTTCATTTTTCTTCAAAGTGGTTTAATACAAGCAGTCTCAGAATAATTTTTCTATCCTTTATGGGAGGAAAAGAATTTTAAAATGTTTATTTGGAAAGATTCATTACTGGTATTTCACTGTTCTGGTCAAAACTCACAATCTTATTTGTATATGAAATACACATAGACGTCTACTTGTGCTATATACATGGAAAAGAAGAGCAAACTCACTACTATTTCTGTTTTGTCCCACAGCATAGTCCATTCTTTGCTGAGCAATTGACTGCATTCCAGGTGTGGCTCACAATGGGAGTAGAGAACAGGAACCCACCAGAACAACTTCCTATAGTCTTGCAGGTAAGGTTCTTTGGTTCACATAGCTTGATTGGTTAGACCCCGTGACAGCTAAGGAAAGAAAGACAAGAAGAACACACAGCCCTAAGCTCAATTGTGTAGCTTTTGTGAAGTGTATGGGGTATGTGAAACATACGCCTGCTGATTGCTATACTCTGGGCCAGATGGTATTTGGGTAAATTAATTATATTAATTCCTTAAGGAGTAATTAAAATTAGTTGTTTGGATATTCCGAAGGCTTTCTTGATAAAGGCATCGAATGTCACCCTATCCCCAAATAAATGTAAATTTAGATTGTCCATTAGCCTGTTCTAAAGTATCGATTTTTACCCACCCTTACCTCTTCTCATCTCCATTCCTTTTCACAATGAACTTTGATTTGAAAATGTGTGAAACAAATATCTTTTAATATAGCCTATTGGCTGTATTGTGCCCTCCTTGGCTTTTAAACTACAAACATGTGAGGCAAATATTTCTTGTGAATACCTTCTTGCTTTAGAAAAAGTGTATTCTAAGAAGGAACAGTACCTTTTGTCTGTTGGCTGATTATTAACACAGAAACATATACTCTTGCTAGAGATCTGTCTACCTCTTTGGCAAGAAGGTGTGTATCAGAGTTGTAGTGGTTACAAAGAATGTCCTTTCTAGGTATCTTGTTGTGTTTTTCCAAAACTCATACTTGCACCCAGTCATTCACTTTGGGACATACAACTTTCCCTACCTCCTTCCTTCCTTCCTTCCTTCCTTCCCCCCTTATTTTCTCCCTTCTTTCCTTCCTTCCTTCCTTCCTTCCAGTAAAGGCATTCTTTGGTCTCCATCTACACCTGATTTAAGTTTAGATGTCTAATGGGAAGAGTCCCATCTCTAAAAGGTAATAGTTGCCAGGTTCAGATCAGTGCCTTTTTCTAAGTACAGTGATTTGGTTCTTTTGCCTATTGTGAGACAGGAATTTGTTTATTATCTTCTACCTTTCCAAGGACATCTGCTTCACTTCCTTCCTAATAGTAAGAATTGCACTTTCTCTGCTAAATGCTACTAACCATTGTGAAGGGCAGGACCATCAGACTTTACTAGATCAAACCTTCATTTCTCAGTGGTTCCATGGCTGAGTGAGCTTTTGAAAAATAGATGAACAGTTTATCTCTGTCCTTACAATGAAAGTTGGCAGGTATTCTCTCTAGTATTCAGTCTATGTTGTGCCATAATATTAGCTGGCAACTGAGGATTTTATTCATAATTAACCTTACAACAGATCTGAAATTTTATCTGGTACAGAAATCTCCCTCAGCAATCTCCCATGGTAAGACAAGGAGACAAGAGAAGAAAGGGTCAATTTAAATTCAGTACACAAATATAAGCATTAAATAGAACCATTCATCGATTAGGAAAGCAGTATATAAGCATGTGTGTGTGTGGGTGTGGGTGTATCTGCTGTGCTAGTTGCTACAGGTACAAAGATGAAAAATTACTCAATTTCTACACTCAAGGAGCTAATAGTCTACTTAGGTTGTGTCAGGGTGACACAACATATATTCAAATAAGCCTATTAAAAGGTAGAACGTGGTATTGGCAGAAAGACAGAGAAAGAGAGCAAAACAAGGGCTTGAGGAACATCTGAGGAAAAGGTCACTTTTAGCTATTCAGAATTGGGAAAACTTCTCATAAGAAAAGAATTTCAAGAGGTAAGACTAAGAAAAAAGCCTTTGGCAAGAAGGTGTATATCAGAGTTGTAGTGGTTACAAAATGGGTGCAAAGAACGCATTCGAGGCCTTGTAAATAGTTGACATGAATTTGTGGAAGCTGGAAAGGGCAGAGTAGAACAGATAGTTTGGTTGGGACATTAAATGTATGAAGGAAAGTAATGTGAAATAAAGTGGAATGGACAATTGGAGCCAGACTATGGAGATTTTAAATACTTTTATGTTTTCTCTATGTAGAATATAGTGCAATTATGTGTATAACTATAAACTCATTGAGAACAGGGGTTTCATACTTGGTATTTATATCCCTTGTGCCTAGCCCATTCCCCTGGTCCATGGTAATTGTTTGTTATTTGAGTAAATAAGTTGTAAGGGAAGGAAAAGGAGAGGATCCAAGGTTCAATTCTTCTTGAATCACTAATTACAAATTTCCATCACAGGAAGCTATACCTTTCTATCCAGAAGCAGCACAATAATCTTCTAGTTTTCCCTGATACTATTGTATAGTAAACCAGAATCTTTATGTCACAAGGGCATGATGCCAAACATGTTAAACTTGGTTCTTCTAGGGACCAAACCTAGAGAATCCTTTTGTAAATCGTTTTTTATTGACTTTTTTAAAGTGTTCCATTTACAATCCATACTCCCTCAGGGAAGAAGACCTAACAAAGCCAATATCCTGCTGCCAAAATAAGAAAAAAACTCCTTTGTAAAATAAAAGAAATAGGTTTTTGGTTTGTTTGTTTTCAGTGTAATTCTATAAAATTAGCATAGACAGAAGATTCTTAATTTTTGCTAAGGGCTTTCCTTCTAGTCCTTTGGCCAGTACAGATGGATGGTATTAATGTATATTCTGCTGAGGAATTAAGCAAGACAAGATTCACAGAAGTACTTGTTTTATTGGGTGCTGCCCTATAATATTATAGCTGCTCATTGACCTTCCTTTTTTTTTTCCTATCATGCATTATCTTGAAAAGTATTATTAATGCCAAAGCCTAGACTCTGTTATCCATAAATTATCCGACTACACCTTGGCAGTTCTTTAAATGTTGCTCAGAAGAAAGAGAACTTTAATTGAGAAACTTGTTCATTTTTAACAGTTTGCTTTTCTTTTCATGTAGTGGACAAAATTTCTTCTACCTCATCCCCAAAGGCAGAGGCTGATGACTGTCCTGGGTCAGTCAACAGCTTTAAAATATATCCTTGTAATGTACAGTTGCTTCACTGTCCCTTATGGAAAAATTACTGTATTGCCCTGTAGGTCAATAATGTCTCCAGAAGCAGAGTTTGGGTGTCCCCCATTCCTCCTTCCTGGCCCCTCTCTTCGCTGGCTAGGAATCTCAAAGGCCTTTTGTACAATATATGTCTGTTCAAGAACCTCTTCTATGAAATCAGCCAAAATGGAAATCTAACTACTCCTTTAAAACCTTCAGTTTGGGGAAAGGGCCTCCAAAGTAACTATTCTTCCCTCCCCTAGTCTGTTCCAGTTTTGGATGGTTCTGATGTGGGGGATTTTATTCCTTACATCAAATCTAAATCCATTTCTCTACAACTTCCATTCATTACTCGTTAATCAAATAGAATACTTCTAGTCCTTCTATTATAACAGAATTTCAGATACTTGAAACAGCTTATATATTGTTCTCCTCCTCTGATCTAAACATCTTCAATTCCTTCAGTCAATCGTATTATCTGTTAGTCTCCAACCCCTACTCTTCCTGTTTGGCCTCTGGACACAATCAAGTATGTCATTGTCCATCTTAAATTATACCTTCTAGAACTGACTACAGTACCCCAATTATACCTGAGCATAGAAGAGTGTAGTAGGACCTTTACCTCCCTCATTCTGGACATTTGCCTCTCAGTGTTACCCAAAATAATGATAGAATCCCTCTCTTTTCTCCCAGTAGAATTTCAGCTCTTTGAGAAAGGGATAGTCCCACTTTTTTATTTGTATCCCCATTGACTATCACATAGTTGGTGCTTAATAAATAATTTTGCTTGATTAGCTTTAGGAACCATTATATCATATGATTGACTTACTTTGAGCTTTTATTTCACTAAATCTCCCAGTTCTTTTTTCACATGAACTATTGTTAAGCCACATTTCCCTTATCCAATATCGTATGGGTTGTTTTTTTTTTTTAACCCAAATGTAGAAAAAAAAATTACATTTATTCTTATTAAAAACCATTCATTAGAAAATTAAAAAAACATTCACTGATAATGTTTGTATGTACATTGGTTGGTGTTTCTGGAGGTTTATTGTGTAAGTCATATATCTGCAGAGTTGTCCCCTAACCTTAGGACAAAACAATACAAATTGCTTCCCATTTTTATATGCTCTTCAGTTCTTATGAAGCAGTGCCCAGGGCTTTCAGACATTGTCCTAATTTGTTTCAATTTGTAATATTTGTGAAAGAGTCACAGGAATGAGGGAGATAGATAGAAACAGAGAGGACTGATAAAGAAAAGAAATTTATTTTCTGTAATAATTTAATACCCTAAAAATCCACCTTAATTCAAAATTTGTAATTGGTAAAAGATAAATATAAGGATTTCATTAAAATGACTCTGGTCAACTTCATTTGCATCATTTCATCTGCTTTTGTTATTTTGTAATATTAATGAAACTAAGTCAAAGTTTAAAGCAGGAATAGTGTTTTGTTATCTTCTACTTAACTCTGATAGGGTCCTCTAGTTCTTATCTCCAGTGTCGTTGTCATTACAGTCTAGTGTTCAGTAATGAACCACTGCCATAGACAAGTATGGCTTTAATTTGAATCCTCACACAGGTTTATATCTGTTCTTTACTTTAGACTGGCAGAGGAGAACAGTTATGGGAATAACTCATCAGGTCACTAGTATTTAATTTTTTTAATTCTACACCAAGATTGACTCAGTCAGAAATACAAGGCAGAAACAAGAAACGATATTAAATTACAACATCAGATCAACAGCTCCTAGAGAGACTGTTCAAGAAACTGAGAGAGTTCTAGCTGTCTGTTTAGACCCAATATTGAATGGGACCTTAGGGGTCACCTCATTTATCCCTTTATTTTCCAGATAAGAAAACTGAGGCCCAGAGACACTAAGTAGAGCGTCCTGTTTCACACAGGTTTTTAGTATCAAGCCAGTATTTTAACTCAGTTCCACTGACTCTAAACTGAGTACTCTTTTCCATACCACTTTCTTCTATTGGTTGTTCAACAAATAGAAAGAATGCTTTCCCGTAAGAAACTTGGTGTGATAGACTACTATTTTTGTAGTGAATTTTTCTATGAATTAGCCTCCTAATTTATATTTTTAAAATGCTATCGAGGTTCTCCTCTTTTGAATATTTTGTATCACTCAGTTCCACCAGATCACATTTATATAGGCCTGCTAGCTTTGCATAGCTCTTTACAATACTTTATCTCCTTTGATCTTCGCAATAACCCCGTGAAGTAATTATGTTATTCTCATCTTACAAATGAGGAAATAGTGTCAGTCAGTTGTGGTCTTCTTACCTTTAAGACCAGATCTCTAATATACCATGCTGCCTCTCTAAGCTAGCACTTCACTATTATAAACTAAGCTTTGATAATGAAGTTTACTGGACTCATTTCTTCTGTTTTTAGGTGCTTTTATAATTCTTTGTCAAGGAAAACAAAGTTCTTTTCTTATTTGGAAATGTTTAAAGAGTAGGATGAATAAGAGAAATATAATTGGTCTTTGTGAACATCATGTGTAGAATTTGATGTGTTTGACTTGCTGTGATACTGCACCTATGATTGGGCCCTTCCACTTGCTCAAACTTGAGAAATGAGGAGACTCTTTCACCCAAGGTCACCTGGGGAATATGAAATCCATGCTAGTCAAAATATCAGAATGTTACAGTCTCGAATAAAACATTAATCCAAAATATTTCTGAGATATAATTACATGTTCTTTTAACTATGAGCTGAAAGAAATGCAAATTTTAGTCAACATGTAGTGCAGCTATGAGTTATACATGAGTGGGATGGAAAGTAGCAGAATCAGCTGTACATTTGGGGAAAGTGGCTGGGGTCCAGAGGAGATGAGTTTAAATTTTCTTTCTCGTCCATCGGAATCATTTAGTGGTTTAAAACGTCTGCCTTTATTCCTCAGGTGCATATTTGGGAATAGGAGATCTTTTTTCAGGGTTTGGACTTAGAAGGGTTTGCAATAATATTTTTTTCTTCCTCTTTCTATAGGTGCTGTTAAGCCAAGTTCATCGGTTGAGAGCTCTCGACTTACTGGGAAGGTTTTTAGACTTGGGCCCCTGGGCAGTGAGCCTGGTGTGTACTTGTTGCATTAGCTCACAGAAGGGAAAAGAACCTTTCAAATGAGTTAATATATAGACTATGTACAATAAGTCATTCTTGCATGAAGGGAATGGGAAAATCTTTTGTGAACTTATTGAATGTCTCAAAACTGACCACAGCCTTATATCCCTAAGTTCAATTTCAAATCTGGCTGTGTTCAGTAGGATTTGGAAACTGCCGAATGTACTTGAAATGTGTTCGCAATGGGCCAAAGCAACTACCATTATTCACTTTTTATCCCTCTTCTTCCATCTGAGATTGCACCTAGCCATAGCCTTTGCAGAAAAGAAAGTACAGTAACACCTTACTCACTTATCTGGAGGTCCATTATCCGGCAACCTCAGCTATCCGGAACACAGCCAAGAACCCGGAAGTAAGCAAAAAAAGGCCTCTGAGCAGCCAAATTAGATGTAATAAAGTCCATGAAATATAGCCGAGCGTTCTACTCATGGAAGAGCCATTCAAGTGCTTACTCTGAGCCTATTTGCTCAAATTTAGACCCATCGACAAGCTTGGTTATCTGGTTACCCAGCCATAGAAGATTAAGGGCAAATTAGGACAGGGGAAGAGGGAGGCACTGTAATAGATAGGCATATTGACAAGAACAAAAAATGACAACTTACATCAAGGAAAGGTTGTAAAAAGCTTCAAAAGTGGGTAGGAAGTCAAATAGCATAGTAGGTTCAGGCCATTTAGTATAGGAGCAACCATTCCTACATATTTTAATAGTCTCACAAAGCACTACTGTATTACATAGCCCAATATAATCATTGACATTCATAATAATAAACCTAAATCATTGAAGTTAATTATTTTCAATGTTATCAGTATCAGAAGACAGAGACGTGTGTAATAATACATTTGAGAAAGATTTCTACCCTAAATGATTAAACATAAAATTTAGTTTTAGAATGATAAGGGACCTGCTTCATTTGTATGGGTAAAAACCTCCTTCGCTGACAATGCCTAATAAATTAGAAACCACTATAGACAGAAATGCTGAACTATCTGCAAATAGGCATAGGGATAGCCAAATGCCCCCAACCCTGCCCCTGACAATATTGCAGTTGGATCTGAGGCTTCAGCTCAGTATGTCATCTGCCCTGGTTGCAAAAGGCACTTCTTTTGTGGTGGAGGAATGCCTTTGTGCTACAAACATAAGGTGTTTGGGGTTTAGAATTTTTGTTTTGTTTATATATTATTTTTGTCTTATAATACTGTAAGATGACTGCAAAGCCTTACAATTAAAAATAATTGAACTTCTCCAGATGTTCTGCAAACTGTGGCGCATGTGCTCTCTCCCATTTCCCCTGTATTTTTTAAATTAAGGGGCTCCCCACAAGAGGGTATTCTGCCAGAAATTCTGGGAGGTATTGAACCACTGCGAGGGCCAAAAGCTGTCACCTGCTCCATGTTAACTAAGCACCAAGCTTTCTCATCCCAGCGATATCAACCTCTCCAGGTTGTTCTCAACCTTGTGTGTATTATTGTGTGTATTTTTGTGTGCATTATCATGTAAAATTGGCAAGAGGTGGGCAATGGGTCCTACCAGAATACTTCACATGCTTATCGAGAATTTAGGAGACGTGTGTGTGTGCGTGTGCGCGCGCGCACGTGCACACGCATATACCCACATGTGCCTGCTTATGCCTGTGCACAGTGAGAGCGAATAGCCTTATTTGAAGATGGAAAGCAGCATGTTTTCAGGCACAAAGCTGTATTCATTATAATGAGGAAAAGCTGCCACTAGATTAATTCTGGGGCTCTGTAGACCAGATGAGTCTCGAAATACCTGGCAACTTTAAGGAATTAAATCAGAGATGAATAAATCTGGAGGAAATCCCTCTTTACTATAAATCAGGGATATTCATTCTGATCATATTTCGCAGATGTGCTGAAAATAATGTTGCATCTGTGTCCCAGAGCTCTGCAGTTCTGCCACCTGTGCCACTCACTTCCTGTACAGAACCTATAGTGAAATCATTGGTAATTTTTAATTTTCTTTTTCTTTTTTTTCTCTCTAGGCCCTGTCAGTTGGCATCTTCCCTTATGTTCTGAAACTGCTCCAGAGCTCAGCCAGAGAGCTGAGGCCACTTCTTGTTTTCATATGGGCCAAAATTCTAGCTGTGGACAGTGTGAGTAATCTCCTATTTATTTCATGTGTAATGTGTGTGTTAGTTGGTGTTTATACTTTCCTGGGTTGTTTTTTTTTAACTAGGGTTTTTTTTTTTATCCTAAGCTTCCTCCCCCTAAACAATGTAAGATACAAGGGTTAGAAGGCATAGGTTCAGTTAAAATGGACTTTTCTGATTTTTTAAACATTCAGACATTGGTTTCACTTGTAATTACCACTATTGCCTTCTTCCTTTTCCATGGTTTTCATCTCATCCTTTCCCAACTCCTTTAAGGTTTTACACTACCAGTTATCTATCCCCTCACTCTCTCTTGCATTTTCAAGTCTTTCCTTCTCCAATGATTTCTTTTTTATCTACACTTTTCTGTCTTCTCTCTCTTTTAAAGGGAACTGCTATCCTAGCCCCTTCATTTTACATTTTTTGAAAGAATGTTCTACATTTGTTGTATCAATTTCATTGCTACCCACTACACTTAACCACACTCTGACTTCCACCATTTCTGAAAATATACACTTACATGGAAGTTATGACCTCCTAATCAATAAAGTGATATCATCCTCAGTCTTCATTCTCCTTGACCTCCCTGTAACAATCTATATACTATTGAACACCTCCTCCTTCTTGGAGCTCTTTTCTGATACTGCCCTCTCTATTTTTACCACCTGCTCTTCTGCCTACTTTTCTTCCTCTTTCAGTGAATCCATTTCCCATTTCACAATATATATGAGCTATCCCCAGAGTTTAGCATCTGATGGGTGTTTTTTTTTTCCTATATTCTCAGTTTCAGAGACTTCAGGAGTTCATATGACGTCACAATCTATATCTCTGGCCCTATTCTCTCCTAGATCTTCAGTCTCACAGATTGTTTTATTGCTTCTTCAAGCACTCATTCATTCTATAAATATTTATTTAAAAACTACTTTATAACATTCATGTTTTCTTTTTGGTTTGGTTTGGTTTGATTTTTGTGGTGGTTGATATTATCTAATTTGCATTAGGTGGTCATTGCTTTATTTTTTTTTTTCCTGGTTCTGCCTATTTCACTTTATATCAGTTCATCTAAGTCTTTCCAAGTTTCTCTGAAACAACCACCACAAAGCAATTAAATCTGAATGCTGTGAAATTATATGAAACAAATTTATCCACAAAGAAAAGATATGAGAAGACAACTCCCTTACCGCTTTGGAGAATATTAGTAAATAAAGTCATATTTTTTTTCTGTATGTTGAGAAGTTTTATTGGATTTCTTTATCTTATTTTTTTCTTTTAAAAAATTATTTATTATAAGGGAGTGGGAGAGATATGATGGCAGGATGCGTTTAGGTGTTGTAAAAAGAAAAGTAATAGAAGCAGCTAGGTGGCACAGTAGATAAAGCTCCAGCCTTGGAGTCAGAAGGACGTGAATTCAAATCTGACCTCAGACACTTGACACTTACTAGCTTTGTGACCCTGGGCAAGTCGCTTAGCCCCAATTACCTCACTAAAAAAAACAAAACAAAAAAATAAGTAATAACCATAAAAATCTATATTCAAAAATCTTTCCAAAATATATTCATTTAGCTTGGCCAGTAGTCCAAGAAAGGCAAAGATACAAAATTTCTCTATATAACAAAATGTTCACAACAATACTTTTTGTGGTAACAAAGATTTGGAAACAAAGTGAGTGCACCTGATGGGGACGTTGCTGGAGAAAATATGTCATATAAATATAAAATAATATTATGCTGTATGAATTGATGGGTATGAGAAATTCAGAAAGGCATGGAAAGACTGGCATGAATTTTTTTCAGTGACATAATGGAACCAGGAAAATAATATACGAAGTTACAAACATGATATGAACAAAAAGTACTATTTAAGGAACTGAAACACTGTAAATGTAATGACCAATCTAGGCACTGGAGAAGGGTAGATGAAATACACCTTCTCTCTTTCTTTATGGTTATGAGAGAGGGATGCAGAATGTTGCATATGCTTTCATACATGGTCATTGTATTGGTTGATTTTTACTTAACTGTTTTTCTTTGTTATAAGAGAAATATCACTGGGAGGGGGGAAGTGACTGGCTATCCAGAAATGACCTTGTGGTGGGGAGAAAAAGTAGTAAAATTTTAATTAGAAGAAAAAAAACTGCTAGGGACAAGGTATTGTGCTAGACACATATGAATAATGGTGTCTGCCTTCAAGTAAGTTATCATTTAGTTAAAGAGATAAAATAAGTACACAAGCAACTACAACATAAGGCATAGGTACAAACAATAGTGAAAGAGAAAAGATGTGGTGAGAAATCAAGAATGGTTTTGGGGAGGAAGTTGAATTTACCTGGCCCTTCATGGATGCATGGGCTTTGATTTTCAAGGAAGAACATTCAAGGAAGGGGAATATCATGAGAAATGAATTCCACAGAGCCAGGAAAGTATGAGGCATGTTCAGGGACTGTCTAGTGACTACGGGGGATGGTATTTTGGCTAGAGCACAGGAAATAAGGCTAGGAAAGTAAGTCAGGATCAGATACAGCATGAAAGGCCTTGAATATTTGCCAAGGAATTTAGATAATTTGGTAAGCAGTGGAGAACCTTTGGAATTTTTTGATGAAAAAATTGAAGCAGTCCAAAGTTTTCTTAGGGCATAAAAATAATCTGAGTTTGTTGCGTACAATACTGGATTGAAATGAGGAGAGACAGTCTGAGAGAATAGTTAGGAAGCTATTTTAGTAGTCCAAGTCAAATGCACAGGCCTGAATTTGGTTGGTAATGGTGGTAACAGAAAGTGTAACAAAACTAATAATAATAGTTGACTTTATACATTATTTTATAGTTTATGTATGATATCACCTTCAGTCCTCGTAATGGCCCAGTGAAGAAAGCTATACAAATGTATTTTCCTCATTACAGATGGGCAAACAGGATTAGATGACTGAAGTGACATAAGACTTCAAATCTAGTATTATTTGCACTAAACCAATTTTTTTCCCCACAAAAGATAGTCCCAGGTGAATTTTCATTAGTCTATAATTTTGTTTTATTTAACTACCAAAAGTTCCTATTACATAAAACTTCTCAATTTAAAAACATTTTTCTTCTCTCTATTCTTCTCCTCATCCAGCTCCCTCTTCTCTGTCTACTCTTTGTGCTAAGAACTCGTGTAGTCTGCTATAGATAATTTACATATTCTCCTCACCTACATTGTAGTTTGTGTTGGGGGGGGTACATCACAGTAGGGGGTACAGATGCCTCTGTGGGAGAAGTCTGAGAGGAAATTCAAAGGACTTGGCACTCAATTTCATAGGATGCCTGAAGAAGAAAGAAGAGCCAGAGATGACCTAAATGTCCAGCCTGAGGAAGCTATCCTAATGAATGCACCATTAACAAAATTAGTCATCAGTAGAATTAACAGCCTTAAAAATCCAATAGACTCTCAATGTCTGACACATCCCAAGTAAGCAGGCACCCAACAGGAAAATCACTACCATCCCAATCAACTTATTCCATTTTGGGGCAACTCTAATATTTAGAAAGTTTTTCATTGTATTCAGACAAAATCTGATTCTGTGCCTTTCCCCACATTGTTTCTAGTTCTGTTATTCGGGGCCAAGCAGTGCAAGTCTTTATGACTTTCCATATGACAACCCTTTGAACACTTGACCATTATGCTTTTCCCCTTAAATCAAATCTCCATGCTAATCCCTAGTTTCTTTAGCCAGTCCTCTCAAGGAATGGATTTTCAGCCTTTTAATACCCTGATCATGGCCTCATGGACATTTTCCAATTTGAAAATGCCCCTCCTGAAATGTAGCACCCAGAACTGAATATCAAGTGACCTTCAGCATCAGGTGACCAGCAGGGAATACAGCACAACTACTCCTCCCTTGCCCCATGCAGCCTAAGAATACATGAGCTGTTTTAGCTGCTGTATCATACTGCTTATTCATATTGAGATAGGTTTTTGGACATGAGCTTCTTTCTAGCCACATCTCCTTCCTTTATAGTGTAACTGTTGTTTATTTGTTTGTTTTTAATAACTCCAGTATAGGACTTTACATTTATCCCTATTAAACTTCATCATGTTAGCTTGGGTCAGGAGTTTATATCCTTATTCTGTTATATAATATATTAATCATCACTTCCAACTTTGTGTGATTTGAAAATTTGATATCTGCCATATGCCTTCCTGTAAGTCATTGATAATAATTTTGGACAAAGTAAGCTCCGGAGGAGATTTCTGTTGTGCTTCTGGAGACTGTTCTCCAGGTTGATGTTGATCCATGTGGTAATAGTAGTGTTTATTGCAGTCGTCATGCCTGCTTTGCTTTTACCCCAATACAGGCTACCCCTATCATCTTCTAAATACCTAAAGGAAAAGCTAAATGGATTGCAAGGAAAAGCAGACACTAAAACTCTAATAGTGAGGGACTTCAGTTTACCTCTTTCAGCCTTAGGTTAAACCAATTAAAAAACAAAACAAAATAAAACAAGACCATAGTTAAGAACCTCAATAGAATTTTAGAAAAATTTGGACTTTTGGCAATTTTTGAATAGAATTTGAAGGAGTATACATATTTCGTGGGAGTTTTTTGTATCTTACAGAAATTGATCATATCGTAGGTCACAAATATCTTAGTGCAACAAAAATTATATTAAATAAAAGGCTGCTGAAAAAAGTTCTGAAAATCAACTGGAGACTAAAGAACTTCATGCAAAAGAATTGGTGAGTCAAAGAACACATTAGAGAAATGATAAATTTCATTAAAGATAATGAGAAGAATGTGACAGCTTGCCACAGTTTGATGGATGTAACATAAGCAGTTCTTAAGTAGAAATTTACATCTCTGAATATTATCATTTACCAAAAAAAAAAAGAGAAAATAAATGAATTAGGAGTGCAACTAAAACTACTTGAAAATCAACAAATTTTAAAATCCCAATTAAACACCAAAATAGAAATCTTGAGAATCAAAGACAAGATTAACAAAATAGGAAACAAAAAATATCAAACTAATA